AAAAAAAACCCAGTTGTCTTCAAGGTGATTCTGATTCATGGCAATCCCATGTGCATCAAGAATAGAACTGTGCTCCACAGAATTTTTAATGGCTGACTTTTTGGAATTAGATTGCCAGGTCTTTCTTCCAAGGTGCCTCTGGATGGGCTGGAAGCTCCAATCTTTCAGTTAGCAGCCAAGTGTGTTAACTGTTGGCACCACCCAGGGATTTCCAAAGGCAGGCTGTAAGCTTTATAGCAGAAAAAAGGAGAAGCTTCAAGTACGCCCTTATTGGACTTTGTTAGTATGGGGAAGCTGGAGGTGCGCTGAGTAGAAACAGGGCATCCTATGTGATTTACCCTATGTGATCCTATGTGATTGTTTAGGGAAGCATATTTGGCTTTCTCTGGTTGGTCCTATATTGGAAGCAAGGACAAAATTTAGTTATTAATCAAGTCTTGGTGGTTGGGCTGATTGCTACAGAGGTTGTAGGTTGGCTTCCTGGGCTGGTTGCTGCAGACTGTGGAACAGAGTTCTGTTTTTACATATGGTTTGACCCTTGTTCACATGTATAATCAGTCTCTCATATATATGGGGGATGAGGAAGAACTAGCAAAGGAGACTAAGAATCACCAGAATGGTAGGAGGAACACCACGAGAGTGTAAACTCTTCAGAGAAGATTTAAACGCAAAGCATATAGTCTTTTTACTATCCATGGTCACTTCACTACCTCTCAAATCTCTAGATCCTAATTTTCAATGATCTATTTGACATCTCCATCTGTATTTATTTATTAAAATCACAATTACTGAACATCTACTATTTTTCAGGCACTTATTTAGATGCTAATTAAAGTGGCTACAAAAATGAATAAGACAGTGTCTGATGCATAGTAAGGGCTCACTATGTATCAGTTGCTGTTGTCGTTATCCACAATTCCCTCACGGGCACCCAGCCTTTGAGTCATGTTAAATGACAGTATTGGAACCCATCATGTTCTTTCATGCCTTGGCGCTGGCCTTTGGCCAAACTGTTCTTTGTCTTGGGAGTCTCTGGGTGGTCCCCACTCCCCCTGAGTCAATTCCAACTTATAGCAATCCTGTAGGATAGAGTAGAACTGCCCCATACGGTTTCCAAGGCTGTAACCTTTACAGAAGCAAATGACCACATCTTTCTCCTTCAGAGTGGCTGATGGATTGGAACCGTTGACCTGTCAGTTACCAGCCCAGCATTTAACCACTGCGCCACCAGGGCTCTTCCCTGGATGGTACAGTTAATGCACTGCACTGCTAACCTGAAAGGTGGGAGATTCAAATCCACCCAGAAGCACCTCAGAAGAAAGGCCTGGCAATCTACTTCTGAAAATCAGCCATTGAAAACTCTATGGAGCATGGTTCTATACTGACACACATGGAGTCACCATGAGTTGGAATCCACAGCAACTGGTTTTTCTTTTTCTGGAATTCCCTTCCCTTGTTCTCATCACATGGAGCCCTGGTGGTGCAGTGGTTAAGAGCTCAGCTGCCAACCAAAAGGTCAGCAGTTTGAAGCCACCAACTGCTCCTTGGAAATCCTATGGGGCAGTTCTACTCCGTCTTATGGGGTTGCTATGAGTTGGAATCAACTCGACGGCAACGGGTTCGATTTTTTTTTTTTTTTGGTTATTCTCATTACATTTTTCCATCTCAGTTCAGTTTAAGATCCTCCAGGAAGTCGTCTCTGACTCCCCCTCCCTTACCCCACCTCCCATGGTCTGTACTCCCTTAGCATCCAGTACATACCTCCCTGTTATTGGTTTTTTTAATACTTATCACATGACATTATAATTGTTTTTATATATTGTCTACTAAACTGTTAGCTCCTCAAAAGCAGGAACGGAGTTTAATTTAATTTACTCTTAGGCACATGATAGGCACTCATTAACTACTAGTTGAATAAGCAATAAATAAATAGTTACTTACGAATGTTAAATCGGTTAAGAAAACACATATATATATACACACGCACACATATATATACATATCCTGATAACTCAGTAAGAAGCAGCTACTTATGTGTTTATTTGGTACAGTGAAACAATGTAAAGAAGCGAGAAATAAAAGCAGAAACTTATATGAGCATTAAATAAAAAGAAAATAAATGAATGACTATCAGCTTGGATATATGCAAGTAAATCCAAGTGAACAATGGAGTAAGGAGTGAAATCAATGACAAATCAATACTAAATGGAATAACTCCACTTCAATTTGATGTATATACCATGCCTGAGAACTGAGAAGTGAATTCTACACTGATACTCTTGATGATTGTCACCTTCCCTCTACCTTGACAAATCAATGAAAAAAATCTGATGGAAAGAGCTCTAAGTTCTGATTTAGGAAGCCTGTGTTAACAGATTTTATGGCCTAATGCACATTTCTTATCTATAAATAAGGAATAAATCTTATCTGTAAAATATTTTTCATTTCTAATAGCTTTTTTTTTTCCTTCCCAGGCAATCCTTTCAGGAGAATAAAATCTAAAATCAGGATTTCACCAAATCAGTTTTACATTTGCAGTTCTGGACTCTAGCGCATTACAACCCAGCCCACCCCTCCTCCACCTGCACAGCCTAGCCCCCAAAATCCAAAGTCTCCTACGGCTTCCAAAGCATTCTCAACCTTATTCAAATGGCTTTCCAAGGCGAAGAATGTAGTAAGTCTGCCTTCTAGCTACCAGCCCCCTTCCCTTCCTTTGGTCTGTCACACCAGTGGTTCTCACCCTAGATTCAGTGGGACAGGGTGGGGGGATGGGGTGAATCCATCCAGGCTTTCATGCAAAGACCCCCTGGTAGGAAAGAACAAAGCTTCCCTGTACCAGCAGTTTAGAGAGCAGCAGGCAAACTCAGGTGTTTGACTGCCCTGACTGCTCCATTCTCCACACTGTACTGGCTGAGAGGTAGGGAGTCAGATTTTTCCCTTTTTTAAAGAAATCACATCCTACTTCTAATGAGACTGAGACTATCTGCTTGAAGCACATTGAATCGAATTTCATTCACCCTCTCCCTGACGCCCCTGTTCCTCCTGCAGAATTATGGTTTGAGAAGACAAAGAAAAGGTTATGCAGAATATTGTTCCCCAGCTTTGAACTTGGCAATATCCTCCTACACTCTCAAGTTCGAATCTTTGCATTGTAAACAAAAATCCGTTCATGTGGAAGCAAAGCTAGCGGCTGTCCGTGGAGACCCAAGTCACAGAGTGAATGGGAAGATTAGTTTCAGGATGTGTCTTAGAAAAATATATAATTGGGATTTGCTAAGTGTGGGAGATTGTGAATGGCAAAGAAATCTTAGTTTCCTTGAATGATGCGTTTGGGAATGAACAGGAAGATTGAAACCTGTAGACTCTTTGTGTTGTCCATTACTATGTAAGTGTTGGAACTCAACTCTAAAAACTCCGTTCCTTTGGAAGACAAACCAAAAAAACAATTGAGGAGGGAGAAGTCTTGAGTGCGAGGTAGGGTTGGAAGACATGGCAGAAGGCCAGACCTGAGGAGGAAAAGCTGATTAAGGAAAAATCAGAGGAAAAAGCCAAACAATGACTGACTGGGAAAGACAAAGGGCCAAAAAAGAACTATTTCAAATACTTTGGCAACTCGATTTACAAGAATATCATTGGCTTAGAGGATATTTTTTAGCACCCTCCTTTCAATTGGGTTGGTTTAGTAGTCAATAAAAAGGGGCCCTGGTGGCACAAACGGTTAAGCTCTAGGCTGGCTGCCAACTGAAAGTTGGTGGTTCGAATCCACCCAGTAGCTCCTTGGGAGAAAAGACTTGGTGATCTTCTTCTGTAAAGATTACAGCGTAGGGAACATATAGGGCAGTTCTGCACTGTCACGTGGGGTCACTATGAGTTGAAAACGACTTGATGGCACCTAATAACAACATCCAGTAATATCTCAGATGGAGTAAGAAGATGATGCTTTCATTCTTTCAGCTTGCTCAATGGATTAAATTAAAAATCACAACAAAAAGTCATTTCCAACTTGGCGGTCATAGGCACAGGATCCTAATAGGATTTCTATTAGCAGCCACTGTGTGTAGGTCACTGATGTGTCAACTATTATGTGTATTTAGCACCTTATCTTCTTTAATTCTTGCAAGAATACACTGAGGTAGTTACTCTCAACCCTAGTTACAAATGAGTAAACAGACCTAATAAGTGTCTGTGCCAAGATTCTATCCTGTATCTTGAGTATAAAAAGCCCTGGTGGCACAGTGGTTAAGAGCTTGGCTGCTAACCAAAAGGTTGGTGGTTAGAATCCACCAGTCACTCCTTGGAAACCCTATGGGGCAGTTCTACTCTGTCCTATAAGGTCACATAGTGTTAAAGTACTAGACTGCTAACCAAAGGTCAGTGATTTGAACCCACCACTTGCTCTGTGGGAGAAAGATGTGGCAGTCTGCTTCCATAAAGATTAACCTGTTAAGCTCTTAACCACTGTGCCACCAGGGCTCCGCATAAAGATTACAGCCTTGGAAACCCTGTGGGGGCAGTTCTACTCTGTCCTGTGGGGTCACTACAAGTCGGAATAGACTCGAAAACACTGGATTTGGTTTTTGGAAGGGTCTCACTTCCAGAAGTTAATTACCCTAGTGGGAGTTTCAATATCCAAGGTAGCCTCAGGAATTGGAGCTGCATGTTTGATTTAACAGGTGGAAACATGGTGAACCTGAAGTATTTAATTGCTGAGTTTGTCTGACGAGGAGCCCTGGTGGTCCAGTGGTTAAAGTGCTCAGCTGCTAACCAAAAGGTCAGCGGTTGGAACCCACCGCCGCTCTGCGAGAGAAAGATGTGGCCTTCTGCTTCCATAAAGATTTGCAGCCTAAGAAACCCTATGAGGCAGCTCTACTCTGTCTATATTGTCGCTAAGAGTCAAAATCGACTTGAGGGCAGTGTGGGGTTGGTTTGATTTTTGGTTATTTTGTCTGCCTGTTATTTGGCCCCAGGTTTCTAGTTCCTTCCCCACCCAGTCTGGGTTACCCTGCAGCTCTACTTTCAGGAACTTTTGCATTACAATGGCCTTGATGAGACTGGCAGACAGGATTAACTGGGAATTCGCCAGGGTGTGTGGAGGAATGAGGGCCACCAGGAGGGGCCAGTCTAAGGACTTCGTTATATACTAGGCTTGATTTATACATCCACAGACTCCAAACTCTTCACTTTTGTTGGATTAGGCTGGTCCCTGTTGGCTCTTGGGGCAATTCCCTTCATCCCAACTTTTTAATACTTTTCTATCTGGAGATCTTCGTATTTTCCACTCAAAAAGCCTTTAAGTCTGAGTTGGACTTTCACAGTCTAGGTCTTTTGGTTTTTTGTTTGTTTTGTTCTTCTACTCGACAACATGAGTGTGGATCTAGCTTCTCCCCAAAGCCTGCCTGAAGCATGCGATTCTAGGGACTCTTCACCAATATCTACAATTTTGGGGGCTGAAGAAAATTACACATCCTTGCAAATGTCCTCTGCTGAGGCACTCTACTCAGAGACTGGTAAGAAAAATTTAATCCTTGGAAGTCTAACTTCCTTAAGATAACGAGAAGGAAGGAAAGAGGATTGAGGGTCATCCACATGCCTCTTGAGAAATTCTAGCCCATTAATATAAGCAGAGGAGGCCTGGTGGCGCAGTGATTAAAGCGCTTCGCTGCTAACCAGAAGGTCGGCAGTTCAAACCCACCAGCCACTCCTTGGGAAAAAGATGTGGTCGTTTGCTTCCGTAAAGATTTATAGCCTTGGAAACCCTGTGGAGCAGTTCTACTCTGTCCTATGGGGTCACTATGAGTCGGAATGGGCTCGATGGCTGTGGGTTTACGTTTGGAATATAAGAAGGTATCGTTATCTATTAAACCTCTTAACACTCTCTTTGAATTGTAACTTGGTGGCTCGTGCCGTTTTAACTATGTCCCAGGTGTGAATTAGGACTGAGAGACAAGAGAACTCTCAGCAGTTAAACTGTGTGTACTCTTGCTAGTTATTGAGAACCTACAAGCTTAGGTACTGTGGGAATACAAATGTGTTATTGTAATAATTAAATGAGCTGGTGCCTAAATCTTAACATCGTAGTGTTGGGCACACAGTTGTCAGTAAGTGTTACTGTTAATTGGCCAGAAGACAGAACACGGATTGGGAGTGAGCATCACATTTTTGTTTTATTTGTTTTTACTCACAGAGCGCCAGCAATGGCACGGCTAATTCCATAAATCTCACCTTGAAGCATTTTACTGTAATTAAAATAAGGACTGTACCAGTTGGCTTTGCTCCCAGCCTTTGGGTGTGTGGATAATATTGGGCACCTCTGAGCTGGGGTATCTGCTATGTTCTAGGTACCATGCCCAATTCTCATAAAACTCAGAGAAGTGTTTGCCTCATTTTACGGTAAAGATAATTCCAGAAAGTTTAATCTGCTGATCATCAAACAAAGTGGCTAGAGTTGGGATTTGAACTACAGTTTGGCTTCAAAATCCATATTACAAATCCTTCTAAATGGTAACTGAGGAATACTTGGGATACTTTAAAGCTGCTACCACTTTACTGGAAATGTAGTTGTCAAAATTTATGAAAATAAAAAAGTAAACCCCTTTCATCCAAGAATGCCATTTTTAACATGACATAAACTACTTTACAAAGTTACATTTGTTATAACCGTAAAAATAAGTTATGGAGAAAGAATAAGTGAGCAAAATAACTGCTATATTTGAGTGTTGGGTTTTGATACGATCCCGCTTTTCTAAACTTTGTGTTGACATCCTTGTTTTTATAATTTCAAACACTGGAGAAATAGGGTGCTGGGTTGTAAGAGGACGAGCTTGGGAACGAACAGTGGGCAGAGCCTTCTGAGCAAGCAAGCACAAGTTTTGTATGCTGTTGTTATATGCCATCAGGTCGATTTCCACTCCTAGCTACTCTATAGGACAGAGCAGAACTATCCCACAGAGTTTTCTAGGTTGTAATTTCTAGGTAATATAGACAGAAGTAAACTTCATTTTTAGTTACTAAATTAATTATTGTCAGGTCCCGTGTTAGGCATTTTTTATCTGTTACCTCGTTTTAACCCATGAAGAAACCCTGTGAGGGTGGAATTATTCGGGAGATGAAGTCACAGCTTGTAAACGCAAAGTCTGGATTGAGATGGATGCCTATCAATTCATTCACATCTGCTAGTCCTGGTATTTAGAAATAACCTGGCAGTAAATTGGTGACTGCATAGGGTACCCGGAGTCTGATCATGTAGTTAGTTAAAAAATTATATAGGTGGTGCTGAGTAAGGTTACAAACAAGAAGTTGTTATTTATGGAGAGACAAGGCAGACATTAGTTGGGTGATCACCATTCTGGTATCAGTGCAGTTAGAGGTGGTTGCCAAAGCGTAGTTGCTTGAGGTTTGAGTTCCTCTCTGCTTCCCAGCAATGTATGATGTTGGTCACATTGTTAAAAACCTCTCTGAGCTTGTTCCATTGTATGTTAAAATCAATCATCAATTATCATTTCTTGGATTATTATGTGTACAAGAGGTTAGCAAAGTGCTCAATAATTGTTGGTTAAGAATTAAGATGTTACTTAATGCTTACCTAGCTTTGAGACTTGGGAGGATTCAAAAAGTGAACTGAAAACAATGTTTGCAAATAGAATATTTTAATATTTGGAAAAAAAAGTTTTAGAGAAAAGTTGTCATTTTATTTGCTCCCAACAGTCTCTCCTCTTCCTTCCTCCATGGATCAGCTTATTCAGGATAGCCCTGATTCTTCCACCAGTCCCAAAATAAAATCGCCTGCTTCTGCTTCTATAGAGAAGAGCACAGTGAAGAAGGAAGGTAAGGGCCAGGGCAAGAAACAGAAGGTCAGAACTGTGTTCTCGCAGACCCAGCTGTGCATACTCAAAGACAGATTTCAGAAACAGAAATACCTCAGCCTCCAGCAGATGCAAGAACTTTCCGAAGTCCTGAACCTTAGCTACAAACAGGTAAGTTTGCTTTATTCTTGCAATAAAATAAAAATGATTAGCAGATTAAGTTCGAAAACACCTTTGTGGATGCACCCCCCCCAAAATAATTTAAATATGAAAATGGGATCTTTTGGTTTCTTGACCCCCTCTTCCTTTCATTACATATTCTGTTGTAAGAATGTCATAATTATTTAACCACCTCCCAAACGAAGATTGTGCAAATGTTTCCCATTTTTCCCTTAGTCAAAGAAGGACTACTCCAACTTCAGACAAGCAAGTCCCTGACCAACACTGGTTCTCATTAAAATAAAAATTGCTTCTTTTGTTTTTAGTCTTTGTGTATTTGATCACTAATGAGATAGGTCATTTTTCATATGTTTTATTGGCCATTTTTTTCCTGTCAATTGCTTTAATCCTCTTTACTCTTTATTTTCTATTCCATGTTCACTTTTTAAAATGGATTTAAAAGCTCCTCATCTCTATGTCAATTGTGTATCATTTTTATTTTATAACGGTTTATTGAAGTCCAGAAGGCTTTTCTTCAGTAAAATATTTTAGTTTGTCTTTTGGTGCCATACTTATAAAGTTCTTCCTTATTCCAAGATACTTATGTTTTCTGGCCCTTCTGTGGTCTCATTTTCTTAACTCATAGTCAATAAGCCATCTGGAAAGTTTAGTTTGATATGTTTTGGAATGTAACTTGATATTTTATAGTCATTGTCCTAGTGTTATATTTCATGATCCCTGAATTGAAACGCTACCATTATCATTAAATATAAATAAGCTTGTATGGTGGGGCGGGGCGGGGGAGGCTGTGACTAATGTATAAGTAAGCTCTGTAAAAAAGGGAGATCAGAAATCTCAATGTGAACTAATTGGTAAGTAGAGATGCAGTGTGTTTTGATTAAACAAAAAGCAGCTAACTGACTTCAGGGGTTTGGATATGTATTCTTAGAACACTGGCTCAGGATTTTTAAAAATGATTCAGAAATTCAAATTTTGTTCCTGAGCTTTAAGGTAGTTTTTTGTTTGCTTTTTTTTTTTTTTTTTTTAACCTGGCAGGGAAAATAGAAAACAACATTCTTTCTCCCAAGCACATCTGCATTTCTAGTATCTTACATTTCTCTCTCACCTTTTTCCTACAGGTTAAGACCTGGTTCCAGAACCAGAGAATGAAATGTAAGAGGTGGCAGAAAAATACCAACTGGTCAAAGAATAGCAGTGGTGCGATTCAGGTAACAGGAAACTTATTTTTCTGCTGTTTTCTTTCAGTGGACTTTTAGTTTTGTCTCTCCCTGAAACATAAAACCTCAACCACAGATAATTCTGACTGATATTCCTTGTTACCCTTTCAGTTAATCTACCATTCTCTTTCAGAAGGTCTCAGTACCTACAGAGTTCCTGGACCTCTACTCTTCCTATCACCAGGGATGCTTTCCTTCTGGAAACCTCCCAATGTGGAACAATCAGACCTGGAACAACTCAACTTGGAGCAACCAGACCTGGAACAGCCAGTCGTGGAACAACCATTCCTGGAACAGCCAGGCTTGGAGCAACCATTCCTGGAACAGCCAGGCTTGGTGCACCCAATCCTGGAATAGCCAATCACCCTGGAACAATCAGTTCCAAAACTGTGGAGAGGACTTCCTGCTGCCGCAGATCCAATTCCAGCAAAATTCTGCCAGTGATCTGGAGACCTCACAAACCATAGATTTATTCCTAAATTACTCCATGAACATACAGCCTGAAGATGCGTGAAGATGGGTATATAACTCAATGTCAATCTGGGCGGTGACTGCATTCCTTCTTTCTTGTAGGACTTCTTGTTTTTAGAGGTTTATCTCTCTGCCATGATATCCTGGTTTTCATTGTGCCTATTGTATAGATTTGGGAGGGGTATAATAGACATTTAATCAAATAGGTTTCAATAATAGCTACCTGGACAATATGATAAAAGATGTTTCTGACTATAGATAACTAGATACCATACTACCTCGGATATCTTTAGGATCTAGCCTCAAGAATTCAAACTAAAAGTACAAAGATGTGGTGGAGGATTATTTGTATTTTATAGGATTGGGAGGCTTAAGGTGAAGGGTTAAGTCATAGGAGCTTCATTGATTTCCTCCACCCTTCTGCTCTGTTTTACTATAACCCCTAACTTGTTCATTTTTTGAATATTTGTAGAAAGATGTTTTGTATTTTGCTGCATTACGGTAATAATAGTACCAGTATGGCTGGTTGATTTATAAATATTAGTACAAGCAAATAAAGTAATATCCATTTTACCTTTAGCTGTCTTCTGCCCTAATTTTACCCAGAGGTTCAATGAGGAAAAATTCCACTAAACACGGGTCTTCATTACTTTGTTTGATGTAGGGGCATATTGCTCTGCAATTTTCTTCTATTTAGGAATATTTCATAGATATCGTTTCCTAAATTTAGATCTCATTCTTTTTAATTGCTGTGTAGTACTAGAGCGACCCCTGGTAATACAATGGTTAAGTGCTCGCCCACTAACAGAAAAGGCTGGTAAGGTTGGTTTGAACCCACCAGCAACTCCTCAGGATCTGGGGATCTGCTCCTGTAAAACATTACAGCCTAGGAAACCCTATGGGGCAGTTCTACTCTGTCCTACAGGGTCTTTATGTTCCAGAAACTTCAGATATATAGTTAATACCTAAAAAGGTACAAGATACTTTTTTAGAATAAAGCTAGTAAATATTCGAGCAAAAATCACCGTGTAAGTCGCCATAAAGTTGAGGCTGGAAAAAGGCTAAAAAGTCTTTTCCTAAATGCAAAATTAAAGTCTTTTCCTAGGTGCTAACCCAATTTAAGGCTTGTCAGTTTACCCCTTTTTTTGGTCACAGGATCACTAAGAATATACATAATAGAAGGAGATAAGGTGAAAAGACCAAAAAAATCCACTGCTGTCGAGTTGACTCGTAGTGACCCTGTAAGACAGAGTAGAACTGCCTCATAGGGTCTCCAAGGAAGCCACTGTCCCATCTTCTTGCCACAGAGCAGCTGGTGGCTTGAACCGGTGGATTAGCAGCTGAGCACTTTAACCATTGTGCCACCAGGACTCCTACGTGAAAAGAAAGTGATCATAAATTCACCTGCCAGCCTCTCCATCTTTCCACATTTCCCTTAGACCTTACTTTTTTTAGTTCTCCAAATAGGGAGTGGGTGTTACTTAGTATATTACATTTCAGCTATTTTATGATCGTTGATTTGAAAATTCACTTTTTCTTGGGTTTTAGTTTGCATTTCCATTTCAGTTTGTACTTGAGGAAAGAAGGAGCACCGTATTGAACTTGTCTGGGTCTTCTGAATATCACAACATGGATGTAAAGCTCAAAAAGTAAATTTCAAGCACCTAGTTCTTGGGGTAAGGACAAGGTTAATTCTGCTCTGAATAATCCTACTATGCAGAAAAACCTGGCATCTACAGGGGGAAAAACACATCCATGATTGTGAACCCAAAGGTAAAGGCCGACAACTGCCAGACAGGCAGGGAAATGAGGGGGAGGACATCAGTAAGTATTGCTTGCCACCTGGGGCCCTGTCAGCTTTTGCCTCAAGCCTGGAGATAAAGGGAATTTGTTAAATAAAGAAGCTAATTGGGGCAGACAAAAGCTTCTGGCACAGGAAGTTAGTTCGACTAAGGATACCAAAACTTAGGCATTTGAATAGGTTGCTTGGTGTGAGGTAGAAGTGAAACCTGACTCAAAAGAAGTAGCAGCTGGTGGTGAGTCTCCCTGCTTAAGGCATTACGGTTAAACTGTGGTCCAAGAAGAAAGTCCTGGAGAATTTTAAAAGTTAAGCGCCTGGAAAATAGAGTCTCATTACCTCCAAATATACTACAAGGCAATCTTTCAAGAACAGAAAAGCTCAGATGTTTGAACCATAATAAATTAATTATAAGACTTGGCGCAAAACGAGGGGAACAAGATGTGGTAGGCGAATACACTTAACGATTCAGTGCAAGTAGAGATGAGACAGGTCATGTGTCCTGTCTCTGGGGCACCAGCCTTCCCCATTTATGGTGTGGTTATAGGAACCGAGGATGGTGACTGAGGACAAGAATTTGAGATTGAACCAGGGCTGGGCTCTGCAAAAGGAATGTACCTGCAGACAGTCACAGGCTAGCTCTATCAGAGACACGTAGTGGCAAGAACTGGCCACGATTGTAGCTCCTCTTAGCCTGATGAGTAGCTATGGAATTTATTTGCATTACTTGGGCAAGGTACATGTGGGACTGGGAATAGGGGTCACCAATAAGTAGCCAATTTAAGAGTTTGGGATGTTGAATGCCTCTGATAATATTTAGTGTTAGACTTAATAAGACTATTAGGTGCCTCTTGCTCCTTCTATCCCTGTGTTCTGTACACATGTACTCTCTACTTACCTAAATCTAATATGTCTTACAGATTACTAACGTCTATAGTTAATACAGCTTATGAATTATGTAAATTCCATTTGTTTTCCAAATACACATTGCACCAGATTAGCCATACAATTTGTCCTTTCTGCAATGCCAAGTCTTATCTAAATCTTAGCCTCTCCTGGATCCTAGATCTCATTTCTTAAGCCTCATATCGATCCTCAGCTTGTGGTTAATCTTACAGTTATACTTAACAACCTCCAAACTGTCAGGCTCTGTAGGTTCCTTCACAGTGCTGCCCACTGAACTATTACAGTGTGTGAACTCACACTGGTTCCCTGATTAATTCCTATATCATCAAACCCAAACCTACTGCCATTGAGTCAATTCTGACTCACGGCAACCCTATAGGACAGAGTAGAACTGCCCATAGGGTTTCCAAGGAGCACCTGGTAGATTCGAACTGCCGACCTTTTGGTCAGCAGCTGAGCTCTTAACCTCCACACCACCAGGGGTCTCCTGTCTCATTAGATCAATAAAAATAGACCTTTTATCTACTCAGACTCTACCCTCTACAGGCAAAAAAGCCCGATCTTTCACATCGGTCTTAAGAGAAACATGATTATTTTATATTATTATTAACTATCAATGGCTCTTTCGTGTTGCTTTTCTTACGCTGCTTGCATCTTCCAAAAGAAAAGTGAAAAAAATAAAGTGAGGCCCAACTTTGAGGAAAATACCTTTAAGGGTACTTTACATTTCCACAGCACTACATGGGTAAACATAGTTTATTTCACTCGATTCTTAAGCGGCCCTCTGAGGTTAGCTACTATTTATGTACAAAGAAACTGAAGCTCAGGAAATCTAAATAACACATCCAATGTTATTGCATTGCCTTGCCTCTATTGTCTGAGTTAAATATAACCCTTGTCTCAGCCAAGAAACTGCCTCATCCCTCCTCAATCCACTGCAATCCACTTTCTGTCCCTACCACGCCATTGTAACAAATCAAGCTAAAATCACCAATGACCTCAAAATGTGTCCTTCATTAGTTCAGTCAACAAATATTTGTTAATACTTAACTAAATATCAGATATTTTGTTAGGAGTTTGCTAGGCTTCAGAGGTGAGGAACATAGACATGCCGCCTGTCTTCATGGAAACAACACTGGATGGTTACATTTTTTGGACCTTAGATACTATCTTACTTTACTCTTACTAAACCAACACTTAGGTACTTTTCCCCAGACTGATAATAGCTTCAAATGCATCATCTTGTTTAATTTTCATAAAACTAGATGAAATTTTTATCCCATTTCCAATGATGGTGCCCTGGTGGCGCAGTCGTTAAAGCAATCAACTGCTAACCAAAAGGTGAGCAGTTTGAAACCACCAGCGGCTCTGCAGGAGAAAGATGCAGCAATCTGCTTTCATAGAGATTTACACCCTTGGAAACTATGGGGTTGCTATGAGTTGGAATCGACTTGATGGCAGTGGGTGGGTATAGATGATAAGGGTTAGAGAACATAAGTAATAAACTTCCCAAAGGACTCACATCTATGAAGAAATGACTTCTGAATCCATACTCTCAACTATTCTGTAAGAACTTCTCTACATTTCAGAGTGTTGACAACATCTCCATTTTTAGTACATACATTTATTTCTGATTATACTACACCCTTTTTAAAAAAAAATCCTCCTAGGATGCTTCTCCCATCTTCACTTTGCAGCTGTTTTATGGGCTTCTTTTTCTCTGTCAACTCTATGAATAGTGGTATTGTAGGCAGTCCTGTTCTCTGTCTTCATCCTTTGCTCTTGTTTCTCACTAGCACCTTTATACCTTTAGGCCGATCATTCCCAAATCTGTAACTTCAGTTTAAGTCTCTGCAGTGCTCCAGTTTCAGACATACCTGCTACTTGGTATCTCCACTTATGCTAACCTATTTCTGAGACTCCCGTTTCCTCATCTGTAAAATACGAATGATAATTTACTTACTCTGTTGTGGTGAGGATATGTGGTAATGTACGTAAAAGACCTCCCAGATTGTCTGTGGAATATAGTAGGCACTAAGTGAATGTCAACCTACAATTATTATGGAAATTTCACCGACACCTCAAATCCAAAATTAAACCCCATTATCTCATTCCCCTCCTTTTTCACAGCATTTCCTGTGCTGGCTCATGACATTATAACTCACCCTGTTATCATAGCCAGAAGCCTGGCAGTTATCCTGGGATATTTCTTTTCTTTTAACCACTATATCTCCACAGTTACTAGTATCTAAGTCTACCTCTCAAATATATTCCAAGCAACCAACAGGTTTCCATACTAGGTATGATGTATTGAAGGAGCCCTGGTGGCACAATGGTTAAGCGCTCAGCTGCTAACTGAAAGGTCTAGGACGGAACCCACCAGCTGCTTTACAAGAGCAAAGAGCTGGGGATCTGCTCCCCTGAAGATTATAGACTGGGAAACCCTATGGGGCAGTTCTACTCTGTCCTATAGGGTTGCTATGAGTAGGAATCAACTTGACTCCACGCCACGCAACGACATGATGTATTGAGCCCCTAATGTGTCACATGTTTTTTCATACTCACTTCCCTGATATTCATATGATGGAGGTATTATTATTATAACCATTTTTATGTAAGGAAAAAAAAGGCCAAAAGCTTAACAAACATGCCAAAGGCGATACTGGTTGTATGTGGTAAAATCTGGATTCAAACCCAGATTTTGTCTGACTCCAAAACTCCATATGTTCCTCTCTTACACTCTTTTCCATTGGATCCTAATCTAGGTCCTTATTATTAGGCCCAATCATTAAAATACATTAACTAATCTCTGTATTTCTGGTCTTGCCCACTTCCAATCCCTTCTCCATAAACCCGAAACCAAACCCATTTCCATTGAGTGGATTCCGACTCACAGTGACCCCACAGGACAGAGTAGAACTGCCGCATAGGGTTTCCAAGGCTGTAATCTTTACAGAAGAAGCCTGCCACATCTTTCTCCCATAGAGCGTTGTGGGGGGGGGCGCGGGGAGGGGCGGTTCGAACTGCCGAACCTTTCAGTTAGTAGCCGGTCGCTTTAGCCACTGCACCACCAGGGCTCCTTTCTTCTCTATAACCCCAAGCAAATTAAACCCATTGCCATCATGTCAATTCCAACTCATAGCCACCTTATAAGACAGAGTAGAACTGCCCTGTAAGGTTTCCAAGGAGGAGCTGGTGAATTTGAGTTGCTGACTTCTTGGTTAGCAGCCAAGCTCTTAACCACTGCACCACCAGGGCTCCTTCTTCTCTATACCAAAACCAAAACCAGACCCGCTACCATTGACTCATAGTGGATTCGAACTGCTGACCTCTTGGTTAACAGCCAAGCTCTTAACCACTGCACCACCAGGGCACCTTCTTCTCTATAGTACAGGGAAAATAACCTGAAATGCAAATCTAAGTATGTTACTCCGCAAAACAAAACCTTTTAATAGCTAACATTTACCTGTGGCGGTATTCCTCTAGTAAACCATCCTGAGCAAAATGAAATTTGCAGTTTTTTTTTTAATGCAAATTGTGGGGAATTATCACAAATGTACAGCATCAAGATTCCCAAGTTTAGAGCCCAAGAAAATCCATTTTTTAGCAAGCACTCTAGGTAATATTTAAGCACAGTAAAGCCAGAGAATCAGAGGCATA